ACGGGGAGCAGGACTGGGCTATTTGATGAAGTTGCAGAGTATTGAGACGATTTGCGATTCAGAGTTGGCAGAGTTTCCCAAAGGGGTCCAGCCGCTCCTACAACAGTTTACGGATGTCTTCCAATGGCCAAGCGGGTTACCTCCTCCGAGGGAGGATGAACACACTGTTACCTTAAAGGGAGGGTGTTTCCCCCATCAACATAAGACCATACAAGTACCCCCAGATTCAGAAGTAAGAAATAGAGAAGTTGATCTGAGAGATGCTCAAGACGAGGATTATCAGGTTTAGTTTGAGCTCTTTTTCCAGTTTTGTCTTGTTAGTGAAGAAAAAAGATGGTAGTTGGAGATTCTGCATGGACTACTGAGCGTTGAACAAGGAGACGATGTTGGACAAGTTTCATATTCCTGTGATTGATGGGTTACTGGATGAGTTTTATGGGGAGGTTTTTTTTTCAGAAATTAATCTTAAATCGGGTTACCAACAGATCAGGATGGATCTCACGAATGTGCACAAGACAACATTCAGGACACATGAAAGACATTTTGTGTTATTATTAATGTCATTTGGCCTCACCAACGCCCCAACAACATTTCAGTCTCTCATGAGTAGGGTTTTTCAACCTTAACTCCGGAAATTTAGCATATTTTTTTTTATGACATTATGGTCTTCAACTGTACAGAAACAGAGCATGTGAGACACATAAGGACAGTCTTTATGATGTTAAGGGAGCACCATGTCATAGACTAACTTTCCTGGGGCGTGAAAACCAGTTGTATGCCAACTTGAAGAAATGTTCTTTTGGGACTAACTTTCCTGGGGCGTGAAAGTCAGCTGTATGCCAACTTGGAGAAATGTTCTTTTGCACAGTTGTAGGTGGAGTACCTAGGACATATGGTGAATGGAATATGGTAGCAGTGGATCATTCCAAGATCGAGACTATGGTTGATTGGCTCTTATTAAGGAATTTGAAGGAGTTGAGATGATTCTTGGGTCTCGCTGGCTATTACCGGAAGTTCGTGGAGGATATGACACGATAGCATGACCACTAGCGCGCAGTTGAAAAAAGACAATTTCAAATTGGGGGATGCAACAAAACATACATTTGAATATCTTAAGAGGGTCATGACTAGTGTCCATATATTAGCACTTTCATATTTCAGTAAATCATTTGTGGTGGAGAAGGATGCGTCAGGGTACAGATTGGGAGCAGTGCTCATGCAGGATTGACACTTCCATATTTCAGTAAACCATTTGTGGTGGAGAAGGATGCGTCAGGGTACAGATGGGGAGCAGTGCTCATGCAGGATTGGCAATCAATTACCTAGTTCAGCCAAGTTTTTAAGGTCGGAGCAAGGCTAAAGTCAGTATATGAACAGGAATTGATAGCGATTATCCTGGTCATTCATAAGTGGTTGCCTGACCTGTTGGGAATACATTTTCAGATCATAGGAGTTTAAAGTATCCTCTGGAGCAGCTAATGGTGACCAAGGAGCATTAAAGATGGTATCCAAGCTACTGGGGTATGATTTTGAGATTCAGTATCGGCTAGGATTGGAGAACAAGGCAACTGAGACATTGTCGAGAAAGGTGGAGGAACCCCAATTGGTGGCCCTATCAGCACTCTTGGTTCTAGATTGGGAAGCTTTGAGACAAAATAACGAAAAGTATGAGGAGCTGAAGAAGATTAGAGTCGAGTTACTACAAGATCAGAACAACCATCTAGAATATCATTGAGGGGACATCAACTGCTCTACTAGGGGCGATTTGTGCTACCTAAGACTTCGGAGTATATTCCTAAATTATTATAAGGGTTTCATGGCAGTGCGATCCGGGGACACTCAGGGGTGCAGAAGACCTATAGTTGTCTAGAGGCAAAGCTTTATTCAGTGGGGATGTGCGGAGACGTGGAAGACATAGTAGCAAGATGTTATGTGTGTCAAGGACACAAATACTTGAACACGACACCAGGAGGCTTACTACAACCATTAGCGTTACCTGGGAAGGTGTGGGAAGAAGTGATGATGGATTTCATCGAGGGGTTGCCACGGTCAGAAGGGTTCACGATGATCATAGTGGTCGTGGATTGCCTAAGTATGTGCATTCATTCCCTTACGACACCCCTACATTGTGGTCTCAGTTGCGACAGTGTTTATCCGAGAAGTGGTATGTTTGCACGGCGTGTCAGAATCAATTGTATCGAATAGGGACAAGGTGTTCCTCGGCCACTCCTGGAATGAATGATTCATGTTGTAAGAGACAGTCCTTAAAAGAAGCACCGGATATCATCCCTAGATCGATGGGCGGACGGAGGTGGTCAACAGTAATGTGGAGACATACCGACATTGTTTTGTATCTGATACACCAAAGTTGGGCTAACTGGATTGCATGGGTCAAATATTGATATAATCCTTCGTACCACACCGTAACACAAATAACCTCTTTCAAGCTATTATATGGGCGGGATCCACCTCACTTGATACATTATGGGTATATTACCACGCCAGTATCCAGTGTCGATCAGTACTTGGAAGAGAGGGACAGGTACTAGCAGAGCTCATGTGGCATTTACTGAGAGTTCAACAAATCATGAAGTGGAAGACAGAGGAACACAGGCGAGAGGTGCAATTTGAACCAAAAAAATGATCTACTTGAAACTGAGACCCTACTGACAGAAGACTTTGAACAGGAGGAGAATATAGAAACTTTCACCGCGATACTTTGGGCCTTATGAGGTGATGACACACATCGGGGCAGTGACCTACCGTTTGAAGTTACCACCATTGTCCGCACTACACTCGATCTTCCATGCATCACAGTTGAGACGTGACAATGACGGAGGACTTGAAAGTGATTATGGAGTCGCTAGAGATTGAAGGAGTGTGTCGAGGAGTAGGAGGAGCAAATGATATATTTGTTAAGTAGAAAGGACTGTCGGACTATGAAACAACATGGGAGCCTTACGAGGTGATCCACAAGCAATTCCATCCTTCAACCTTGAGGCAAGGTACGTCTTTGGGAGGGAAGTATTGTTACGTTCGTAATAGGTGTAACAGGACCAGTGCCTCCTAGACTGGTTGAAAACCACCCAACCAACCCTCTCCCTGAATAGACAGGCCGGTCCTTGTCGCAAGAAGAGGTTGAGCAGTCAATTGCCGCAACAAAAGAAGAGAGCGGGGGGGGGGGGAGACGGGAGGACGACAAAAACCGAGCCAGTGGAGGGAAAGTTTTCCTCACTAAGCAATTTGAGATTTATCAAAGCAATTCTAGAAAATAAAATATGGTCTATCTTAAACATAATAATTTGAGATTCGAAAACTTTTGATTTTGAGTAGGCGTAATCTATTTAAAGATATTGTGTTTTTGTAGATGAAAATCTAATTTCTTGAGAAGCAGCATATAGCGTAACTGGAATGACTGTTTAATCTTAACATTGAGCCATGGGTCTTATGTAGATCAAAATTCTTGTAGAATATTTTGACTTTTCTAATATTGAGCCTTTGCATAGTCTAATATTCCGTAAAAGAATGAAATACATTGGAGTAGATTATCACTTCATCATAGACGGGCTTTTGTCAAACTTGATCATCATTCCTTACATATTAAGTGAAGAATAATCGACTAATATCTTTAGGGGCATTTACATGCATACCACACATTTTCTTATGTATTTATATATCTAACACCTAAATTTAATACTTGCATTGTGCTCAAATCTTAATATTGCATCAAAAATATCACTATCATATTCTTATTAAAAATGAAAACCACCTTTTCATGCATACACCGAATTGTTAGAAATGTAAATATTAGATATATAATTACATAGGATGTGTCGTTTGTATGTAACACCAGAGGGTTTTGTCACACATGCATTCTCTTACTCCAAGACATCTAAACGAAAGATTAATCTAACAAGGTCTATCATTTTTTCAAACTTTATTTTCCAATTGGGATTTTTACATAAGTAGCACTCCAAATATAGCTACGCACCTGTTTCACACGAAACTTGAATTTTACATATTCCACCCTTCGCTACCACACGATCCTCTGTTCCAATCAATCATTACAACGACGAGTAATCTGGCCGTTGTTGGTCGCCTGGCATCTTCTTCCGCGCTTCATTCTCTTAATTCTTCATTGCTGCCGGTCATGACTTTCTCTGGCGAAGTTCTCCCAATTGTTATCTTCCATCATTCTCTCTCTCTCTCTCTTCGAAATACTCTATCCTCTTTTCTTCTACAAACCCATCAGATAGAAGCTGGTGGTGGCTGAATCCGCCAACAAATATGTTGAAAGAGTCGTTGGCTGAAATTAAGAATGGATTTTGCTGCTTTCTCACTCTGGCATTAACCTGATAATTATAAAAGTTTATATTTCTTTTTCTTTTGAATAACTTGGAAGGAAGTTCACAGAAAATTGTATGCCATGGAGAACAATGGCAACCGAATTACTCGTCGTCACCATGCCTTCGCTGCTCGGATTGCTCGAATGAGGCGGAGAAGGGAGAAGGGGGAGAAGAAGTTGACAGATGCCCATTAGCTCCATTTATACACTTTGGAATCGAGGATGCTGATTTCGGGGAAACTAGGGGGCAGTGGTGAGGGAATCGGCGAAAATGGTGTACCAAAGGCAGTGGTGGGAAAGGTACGAGTGAGCGTTAAGTAGGTGTTGGGCCGTGTAGGGGCCGAAGAAGGTGGCCAAAGTGTGGAAGACGATACCATGGATACCAACGGTGGCCAGATCACTTCATTGCCATGGCTTTGCCGCTCGGATTGCTTGGGACGGAGAAACATGCGGTAGGAAATGGGGAGAAAGTTGATGGAGGCTAGACTGGGCGCCCGAAATTTATAAAATTTAAGTTTCATGTGTGTGCAACATATAAATAACAATGTTGGCAGTGCTATGTCTGTAAAAAATCCCCTTTCTAATTTCAAGCAATCAAACATACCCTAAGATGTGTTCCATAGAACTAAGTTCAGCTTATTTCTATTTTTTCAAGTGGCGGAAGTCATCTTTGCAATAACTTCCTGCACCAAAGATGCATGCGGGAAACCTCCAACCGAGCGGCTCTTCCTCGACAAATATGGGAAGATATGCCTATCCCTTGATGAGATTGTTTGGCAGGTAGAATTTATTTTAATTTATATAATCAATTTATTAAATTTTAGGGCATTTACATACATACCACACAACTATTATGTATTTACATTTCCAACACCTAAACTTCCATATTTACATGCACAACACTCAAATCATTGACATGCATAAAAAATATCACTATTATATGTTATCATGCATAACTTTATGACATAAATCATTGGTAAATGTAAATATGAAAGTTTAAGTATTAGATAGACAAATATATAAGAATTGTGGGGGTATTTATGTAAATTTCTCTTAAAGCTAACTTAAATGAAATATAATACTATATTCTAAATTTTTTACATTATCTCATCTGTAAACTGATGCTTTTGTTTCAAAATGATGAAGGGTATGTTGGAAAATACAGAGAAGGAGAGAATCAAACGATTGATAAGGATGAAACCTCCTGCTGATGTGTGACTACTGGCCTGGCTTCAAGTTCTTTTATATTTCTGCAAAAATTTTACAGGTTCGTGTATGATTATATCTTTGTGTATCTGAAAGACCCATAAAATGCAAATTTAGTATTTGATAATTATGAAGGAAAAAAAAATCTCAATTCCTTGAGATGGCTGCTTCAAACTGGAACACGAACACTTTTTTAGTTTTGAGTGGGGTCTGACCCAAAGTTGATTCGACCCAAAATTATTTGACCCGAACCTGACCTGAATGATAAACATGTGTGAAAGTTTAACTCGAACTCGACTCACTCTCAACCCGCTAACCTGAGCCTGACTCGTATAACCCGTTTGATATAAGGGATAAGAGTTATTCGGGTCAAAACTGAGCCAAAATGGGGTCGAATTTGAGTCATTTTTTTGGTTAAATGTTTATTTCAAGTAGGCAGGTCAAATTCTTAAATTTCAAATTGGTGATTATTTTCTAGTCATTTTCGCTAGCAGATCAATTCAGACCGGACCGGAACAATTATGTGTTAAGAATCCTAATCATAACCCAACCCAAAAATTATTTTAGTCAATATGAAATTGGATTTTTTGAGTTGAGTTGTTTTTCGGGTTAATTTTTGACATCTCTAGTTTTAAATTATTACTTGAAGTTATTGTTTGTTTTTCTAATGGATTTTTAGGTACTATTGAGTTTCTAATGGATTTTTAGGTACTATTGAGATGATAATAGACCATTTACCCTAATCATTAAAGATAGTTGCATTTATGTACATTCCACCCAATTTTTATGTATGAACAGTTTACGTGCTAGGTATAACAGTTTACGTGCTAGGTAAATGCATAAGCATTGAGTGGGATGCATGTAAATCTTCTATAAAGATATGCAATAGTAAAATTTATTTGTCAAAAATAAACAAAAGTCTTACACCCACGTCACCCCAAATTCACATGAGTGATGACTCGGCCTTCCCCTGGAAAAAAAAAAAAATTACGTCCGCACATCCGGATGGCTAATAACCGGACATCACGTTACCCGGCTCTGATGTGTATGGCGATGTGACGCCCGACAGTTGGCCGTCACGTAAAATTTTATTCTTTCGGTGGAGGTAAAATATTCTCGTTCCGGTGGGCGATGCATATGTAAAATTCTCACGTGTATATCAACATTTCAAGATTGTTTGAAAAATAAAAGCCATAAAGTGTTTTTGATTCCAGTACTACTACTTGTTTACATGATGTTTGGGATCTATTTTCATTATGTTACTTTCATTGATTGATGCTCATCAACGTTTTTGTTGTAGTCCCATGAAACAAAAATCTAATGATACATATCATTTTATACATTTGCACAAATATATACATACCCATTATAATAAAAATGTCAATTAACAAATTTAACAATATGCAAACATAAAGTACAAATGAATATTAACGTGATTAAATGAAAACATAATGAAAGTAATTATCAATGGTACAATTAGTTTGGTTTGGATAAGCAGCTGTCTCATCAGTCCAAATCACTCGACCCAACTCCTCCACTCACAGCAGAAGAAGAGAGAGGGTTTCAATCCCTCCTACAATTCTGTAGCTCCACATGGGTTTTCTACGTAAAAACTTCTAGAGTCATTACCGCTTGTTTTCTCTTTCATCTGTGTGTGTGCTAAACTTTCATATAACGCTAAGACGATAGTCCGTTACTCTACCGCAATGAATTTTCTACCACGCGTAAAAAATTTAGATTATTTCCGTGCTTAATTTAATCTGTTATATTTTTTGTTAATAGTTATATATATATATATATACATGTATATTTAATCGATGAAGTGATTCCCAACTCTTCCAATCTTGAATTCTTGGTCAATGACAGAGATATCACCTCGTTATTATTTAAACTATACATTAATTTGTATTGAAAATAATAAAAATTATGCAAAATAATTTATAAATACGATATTAAAATTTATTTGTCTAAATAAACTAATGTCTAACAAACAAATCTTCTATTAATGTACAATGGAAGTTATTTTGTTAAGTAAACAAGAAATAATAGACTTTAGTTCAAACAAAATGGTACAAAATTTTACAACTACTGCACCAGCCGGGAATCGAACCCGGGTCTGTACCGTGGCAGGGTACTATTCTACCACTAGACCACTGGTGCTTTTAACGGAATGTTTTATAATTCATCGCAATTGATCGCATTTTCGCAATTGATCCCACAACATAGAGTCCACTTCATAATCTTTTTTCTCCGTTCGAGTCCTATTTAGGGTCCGTTTGGGACAGATCTCATTTAGTTATGATAAATTAAGATCGTCTTTTATACAATAAGCCCAGGTTTTCATAATTCTAACTCTGCCTTTCTTACCATAAATCGAATTTAAAACATCTACTCTCATAATCAGATCATCAGTTGGTCAACGTTTAATGTGACCAAACTATCTAAGACGACTTTCTCTAATTTTGTCTGTCACTAGAGCTGTACCAACCTTATCAAGGATATATTCATTTAGCATTTTATCTCTAAGTGTAAAGCCACTCATCCACCTAATCATTCTCATCTCGACAGCACTTAACTTAGTATTATGCTTTTTCTTTAAAGGCCAGCATTTAGAGTCATATAGCGTTGTTGGTCTCACCACTGTCTTATAAAATTTTTCTTTTAGTCTAAGTGATACCTTTCTATCACATAAAAGGCCCGAAGCATCCCTCCACTTCAACCAACCAACTTGAATTCTACTATTAACATCCCCATATGTATCACCAACGCTTTGAACAATAGACTCAAGATATCTAAATCGTTCACACCTTTCAATAATTTGATCACTCAAAGGTACACATCTGTCACTATAGCTACTACTACTACTAAAATTACATTTCATATATTCACTTTTATTTTCTACTCAAATGAAGGCCTTTAGACTTCAATAAATTATACATAGAATTAAATGAATTATTTAATGTATTGATTGAATGATATGACCAAAAAAATTCAAGATTTATATGCATATACTAGAGCTGCCGACACGAATTTCAAAAAAAATGAACAGTCAAAAATAAAAAACTTCCTCATAGGTAATAGTAAATCTACTAGTCACTGTCAAGCAGGTGAAGCAACATCTCTAAACCCAGGACATGTCGATGCCCTGAAGATGGTACATTGCTCGATAGCGACAAGATTCATCAAGGGTGAGACATAATTCATTCTTGCAGTAAGGCTTAACGGACGCCCCAGACAGGGAGCGATAGATCCAACTAAGACATTGCAAATAGAGGTATCAAACTGATGCAATGTACCGACCTCGAGCCAAAGCAGCAAGTGAGCCGTGATACACTCGACAAAAACAAACCGACTCATCAATCAACCAATCGACTGATTGAAGCACAGACAGAAACACCATGATTACAAATGGACGACAAGCCTGCTTTTGCCACAGCAGACAAGATCATCGTTCGATCGAACGCCTCGGTCGACCAAACACAAGGCACGATCACCATCCGGTCGATTACTTCAATCCGCCACATTTTTGCGAATAGACAACCAAATACCGTCATATCACAATTCAAATTATAATACATGCATGGAATGAAATACATACAATTTATTATAGCATTAACCATATAAAAAATAGTTTCCACAATTGTTCCTCTCTTTCTACAATTTTACAAAATGTGTCTATATAAATAAGAGCAAAAATATGAATAAAGTGGACTCCCCCGGTTTTCCACAGTAACTCTTTATTTACTTTATTATCTTCTTCACTCGACTCTAACTCTCGAAATTTGTTCACAAAAGACAATCCAGATCCTACAGTGTTGGCAATGAATCATTTATTTTGAAAGATTTGACATGTAGTGAGGTGATTAGGGATGCATGATGGATATCTTCAATACTAATATATGAGAAAATCATGTGAATCAATGTTTCCAAGAAAGTGAAGAAGACAACCCCTTTTGGCGTTACTACATAGGTTTTGATCATCCATGATAAATCAACTGTTGATGCAAGATGACTAGTAATGACACCATATTTTGATGCACTTAAATTCATAATCTCAAGGAAAAACTATATAATGCTACCGTGGGCAATTAGTAAAAAAAATTTATATCCACAAGTCAAAATAATGAACAAATCAATTAATTAAATTTATTTAAAATAATAATTTATGTTTAGAGTCACATTAATGAGGTGATTATTCAGAATCTTAATATTGGACGAAAATTCAACACACACATAGATAATAAAAATAATAGGTAGAGACATCAAAAGTTTTAACGTGGTAAACCTGAAATGGAAAAAAAATCGGCTGAGTCTAGTCTAGTCGGAATGATTTGCTATAAGTTTGGGAGTACAAGTATAGATGACACACATTTGAAAAATTTTTGAAGTCTCTTCTAATATATTGTCTGCACGCATAAGCATTCATTGTATAGTGGTCGGGAGCGGTTGTTACCTGGAGTAATGTAATTGCTAGAATTTTGTCATTGCACAATATCCAGGACATTTTGCTGCTCTATAGAGTGTTTCACTAGTCTGTATTGCATGCCACTAATCCGCTCTGAACTTCGTGCAAAGTACGTCATTAATCCACATGTCTTGTCTCGTCCCCTCACTTCGTAGGGTCCAACAATGGCGAAGATCAGGGGCGGCCGATGACGACATTACAAGAGTGATAGCCAGGTTTTTGAGAACAACTCTCATATTCCACTTATCCTATGGGTACAGGTCTCTCTTGACTTTTGATCCCCTTTCATTAAGAGAATATAACTCTATTTACAGGGTATGAGAGTGACATCATTTGTAAATAAAGTTGAAATCCGTACGATTCCATCAAATGATCTTGTACGATTCCCTGGACCAAATGTCATTTTATGGACATTTAAGTGCCTTAATAATATTAGAATCATGTGATATCGAACTATTTGGATTCGTCTCATCGAGATGCTTGATTTAACTATAAGCTTGTTGATTCACAATCTATCTGATTCAACAATTAACCAATCAAAGTTTCTAAAAGTAGTTTAACCCCTTGTTCAAGTTTTGATTGCTATGGATTGTATAAATTTTGGTGTCATTGGGTTTTTCTGGTCGAGCCGATCAATTTAACTATAAGTTTGATAAAATCGGAGTTCCTAATGATTTTTAATTTTTTGTTTAATCCAGAAGATACACCGAGATTCGTATCATACCTAAAAATTTATTCTAATAAAAAATATTTTGAAATACTGCTATTTGAAATTTACATGCATACCACTTAATTCATATATCTAATGCCTAAAATTACATATTTATTATATATCACATATATATTAAAAATTTAGACAATGACAGTGACATTTTTTATGAAATCAAAGATTTGAGTGTTAGGTTGGCAAATATAAAAGTTCTGTTAATAATGTAAATATATAGAAATTGTGTGGTATGTACGTAAATTTCCAATTATTAAATTGGTTGTTTAATTATAATGTGGGCCATGTTACATGGGCCGTGCACCCTCACTCACCATGATGCACGAATCACGAGTTCTTCCACTGGCTTCTGGATTGTTCCGCCAAAGCTCCGGACAAAAAATTCGATACACCCACCCACATCAACGAAATCACAAACCAATTCATATGAATATGCATATGCTTTAGGAGTTGTGCTGCGATCATGTTATAGGATATTAGCACAAATCTTGATGATGATCTATTGACAATAACGCAATGTATAATGACTTCTATACACCGAAGCTGCATAATAAAACCGCTACTGATCCAACGGCTAAGATCACTCTTAAGAGAGGGATCGGAAATGAGAGTCGTCACTCTCTTAAAACCCTCTGTTTCTCTTGCAATAAAGCCTCATCCAGGTCCTTCTAGTTCACATTCACCGGCGAGCTCCACCTAACTGTGAATCCCAACCTTATCCAACCCTAGTACCTCTCTTCTGTTCCTCCAAGGTACCATCCCTTCTCCCTCTTCAAACGCTTTTGAATGGGCTTTGTGTTGTCCTTCTCGGTTTCTTTATCGGCTGTGTATTTGTTTTGAGTTTTCTGATGATAAGCGTGTCGGTGTTTTGTGTAGCGGAGCAGATGGCTGAGTTCGTTTAGTATTGTGATTTTTCTGTTGAAAGAGTTTGGAAATTTTTGGTTACGGCTGCTTCTTGTCCCTTTTTTTTTTTAGATTATTTATGTTGTAGCTTATATACACACATATATCTGACGAGAACTTACAGCTCAGCTGTTTGGTTAAACAGTGCGTTAGTGAGGGAGTTTTCATTCATTTTTATATTTATGATTTTCTGGGTCGATTTCTGTTGTTCTTATTAGATTTGATGATCTTGCGCTATACATCTGATGCTGAATGGATATACTGTTTAAGCTTGCCTTTGGTTTCAGGAACTAAAGTTTATAGTAGTTTCTTAATTTCTGGAAGCAGCGTACTAAATGTTTTTTCAGCTTTGCTGAATGTAATTTAAGCACAAATGATGTTGGAAATATTTATAAGAAAGACAATATATTCTGTACTAGAAAAACAAGGTAATCATGAAGCTATAAATTGCAATTATCATAAATGAGGCATTTGTTGAATAGGAGCTGAAAATTTTAGATAATTTGAAAAATGTAAGCCTGAAAATTTAGATTATATATTGACTCTTGGAACAAAGTGTGCATCTTTAGTACAGAAATTGTTGCTGTTGCTGCTTCAAGCTTGCTTTCTAGGTTTTAGCCACGCTTTCTCTTTTACACAATTAGGTTTTAGTTGTCTGGTGCCCGAGCATCTCATTGCACAAAACAAAATGACAAAATAATATAATAAATTTGAAGTTTGAGAACAAAAGAACGTGCAATAAGTATATAAATAATATGGTTTTGTTTAGGGTTTAGATAGGGAAGGGACCGGAGTGAATCTCATGATAAATAGTTCTTCTCAAGTACACCATTCAACTTTGTTTTATTCTTTAATCCCTCCAGTTAAACACTATGGAGTCTCCAGTTAAACACTATGGATTGGTTTAGGGTTATCATGGGGATGGGGTTGGAGTTAATCTCCTGATAAACAGTAGTTCTTATGTACTACATTTAGCTTTGTTTTATGCTTTCCTCCAGTTAAACACTATGGAGTGGTTTAGGGTTATCATGGGGATGGGTTTGGAGTTAATCTCCTGATAAATAGTACTTCTTATGTACTACATTTAGCTTTGTTTTATGCTTTAAACCTTCTAATTAAAAGAATAACAATTAATAAAGTGGTAACTATTTTGATTGTCCGAAATATTGTGGCAAACATAATCTGTTTTATAGATGATAAATAAGATGTTCTTGAATCTATAAAATTCAATCTGTCATAAGTCATTAGTAATACAATTGCAGCACAGGAATCCAAATGAAACAAATTTAAATAAGTTGAGAAACCCCAAGCTTGAAAAAACAAGATTATTTTTCTTCCTTTAGTAAAAGAATAGCACAGGTTTATACAATTTGTGTTAGATCTTTTCCAGCATAATGCACTTGTGGATTGTCCCATGTATGTATTTTTTCGAATATTCTCTCCTAAGTGTCTCAAAGTTGGACATATGATGTTTCTCTTTTGAATGTTATTGGAGTTAGCATTGTAATAAATGATGCCATGTTTTGGAATTTACTTCGCAGGCAATGGCATCCACTTTCAATACAATGTCTACTTTCGGCTCTTTTGCTGCCAGTAGCCTTACAGCAGACAAGAAATTCCTATCGTCTTCTGAGAAATTATCCCAATTCTCTTCTCTAGCTTCAATTTCATCCCAGCCTCTGAGTGGCAGAAGGAAGAAGATGAATCTGCAGAAGGGATGTAAAACTGGCATCCGTGCTATGGCTAAGGAGTTATATTTCAACAAGGATGGGTCAGCTACTAAGAAATTACAAGTAAACTGGCCATTGCCTTGTTAGGATTCTGCTTATGTAGCTGGTCAGTTATGATATCATTTGGTTTATTGTTGATGCAGACTGGTGTGAATAAGCTGGCGGATCTTGTTGGAGTTACTCTTGGACCAAAGGGAAGGAATGTGGTTCTGGAGAGCAAGTATGGATCTCCTAAGATAGTGAATGATGGTGTTACTGTGGCGAAAGAGGTATCGTGGTGACATTATTCTCTGAAAGTTTATGCTTGTTGGGCATTTACATACATACCACCAAATTCCTATATATTTACATATATAACTCCAAAACTTATCTTTTTTACATTTATACCATCCAAAACTTTTAATATCACATACTTTCCAAATATGAAATGCGCCATTTCATGCATGGTAAAGTGGCATATTTGTAAAAGTTAAAGTTTAGGCTTTACATATGTAAATACGTAGGAATTGAGTGATATGTATGTAAATCTTGGTTGAGTAAAATAAAGAATACTTTGGCCAAGGCTGATAGCATCATAAACTTGCATGTGCTCGGAAAGCTTTATCTCCTGCAATTTTTGTTTTTAGCTAATTTTTAAGCTTAAGAAAGTAACGCTAAACACATATAGAGCTGCTCACTTGCACATGCACACATTAGTACAAAGTTTTTCTAAGGAAGTGTTTATTTTAAATTCTTTTATGTTTCTTAGTGGTCTACCTTATTTTTCAAATTTTTTGTTGTAGCTGCTTCAGGAAGACATCGTGCAGTAAAGTCTTCTGTACTTAAATATCTAATAAGAAACTCCTATACATCGAAATCTCGTATGTGGCTTCCCAAGTATCTCTATTTGCGATTGTATTGTGTGGTTAGGTCACTGCATGCTGCGATCCTGATCGTGAGGTTCAATTATGAGGACATGTACGTAGCTATCCCGTTGATGCTTCCCAGGATCACAACCGCATCACTGGATTCAGTCATAAAGCCAAGAAGGCCTCCATGTTGTGTTCCCTTTCGTTCTTCATAGTTAGCACCAATCGTGGTTGTATCGGAAGTTCGTCTCGATTTTGGGAGGTTGTACACAATCTCATCCGTGACTTCGTAACTAGCTCTTATTACAAAAGTATTGCAAGATATGGGATCCCATTGGCGATTTTCTAGTACGTCGGGATCCCATTGGCACTCAGCTAGAATTGCGTCACGCTGTATCGCAGAGGCGTTATGATACTTTGTTGGCATCTCGGGGGTGATTAGATCTTGTCATATTTTCTTTGCGAATTATAACTGTACTTGTGAGGTTAGGTCTTGAGGGATGTTGATCCCGTCGGTGGCTCCCATGTCTTGATGTGATCATACAGTGCTGCGAGTACGGTCTGAAAATGACACTCTTGCACTCCGCGATTCCATATTTGCTTCTCAACTAGCTTGAATCGTGAGTATAGCGAGGTTTGAAACAACGACCGAACAATTTTGGCATGATCATAAACTTTGTTGCGGTTGAATGTTGTGATGCCATTTGATATGAATCAATTTGATTTTTTTGTAGAAATTAGGGCAAACACAATACTTTATTCCACCAACACCAAATCAAAGTGATACAACGTGAAACGACTCACATGAGTACATAAATGAGCACTTACAATTCGAGAGTCGATCTCTTTCAAAACCTAATCATAAGACTCGAGATAACAATCTTGTGCATAACTCAACCCTAAACATATTAGCCCTATTTATGCTAAATAATAATAAATGACAAAAGACTAAATTGTCTTTAGGCACACAAAGGACTGTATTACACCTAGATACTGATGTAACAAACTATCTCACCAAAATTATCAATTTTTTTATAGATAAGTATTTCTGTCCAAATACGGCATGATAAAAACATAAATGATGGCAACTGAAATAATTGTGACAACCCAAACAAATCCGTCAACCGAAACAACTCATAACAATGAGTGACGAAAGTAAAGTTTAACTCCGACAACCGAACTAACTCAGAGTCAAGGGGCGCTGCACGCAAGACAACAACAAAAACGAAAGGAGAGGGCAAAAGAAGTAAGCTTGGAACCGAGACGAGAAGAAAAAATCCCAGGGCTCAAAGTGCAAAAGGAGTTTAGACCTCATTTGAAGCTGTGAGATGCGCTAATAGGGCAGACGTTGCAAAATGTCGTTTCATAGATCCGTGTTTCCTGAAAACGCCAAAAAATGAGCGACCCAAACACTCATAATGGCGTGGTGCTTGGAAGCTTCGTCAAACAGGGCCTAGATCTTTCATATCAAATAAAAAAATAATACCATGACTTTTAAAAAGTGATACTGATCTTTTGAAACATGGGTAAAGTTATATAAATGTAAAGCTCGAAGTTTTGTTGTTAGATATGTATATGCATAGGAATTGTGTGCTATGTATGTAAATCTTCCTTTAGCTCTGACTATCATTTGTATGGTTTGTGCACTAACTGATTCGGAAATGCTCTATATTATTATAACTTCTCCATTGTAAAAAAAATTCATGCAAAGCACCTGTACCCGCTCAGACATTTGTACAAAGTACAGTTTAAATTCTTGTATGCTTATCAGTGAGCTACTTTATTTTTCGATTATTCTTTGATGTAGCTGCTACTGGAAGACTGATATATTTTAGTTTTGCTGCTTTTACATACATACCACACAATTCTTGTATATTGCATAACTTTCACCTAAAGTTTCATATTTACATACATAACCCTCAAATCTTTGATACCACTATTATAAACTTTTTAAAAGTGAAATATGCATTTTGATGCATAGGTTCTTGATACCAAGGGGTTATAAATGTAAATATCAAACTTTAGGTGTTAGATATATAAATGCATTAAGGATTGGCGTATGTATGCAAATTTCCCTTAGATTACGTGGGTCATTTGTCTGGTTTATATACTAACTGATTCAGAGACGCTCTATATTATTTTCAACCTCTCCGTTGTCTGGTTTATGCAGAAACTCAATTTCCGCTAGATCAACAATCTGAAATAGTGTGTAGCACATCTGGCAATTTTTAATTTGTTTGTATCTAGTTTGATATTTCTAGTTTGCTAAAATAGGCCACCTCTTTATTTAATTCAGGTTGAGTTGGAAGACCCCGTTGAAAACATTGGCGCTAAGCTGGTCAGACAAGCTGCTTCTAAAACTAATGACCTTGCTGGTGATGGTACCACAACTTCTGTAGTTTTAGCACAGGGTTTAATTGCTGAAGGTGTTAAGGTCTGTTAGCTAATTATTTGGCACCTCTCTTCTTTAATTCTGTTACATTGATGCAATTTTTTTACCCCCACTTGGATCATGATTACTGCAGGTTGTTGCAGCAGGTGCGAATCCTGTTCAAATCACTAGAGGCATAGAAAAAACTTCAAAAGCTCTAGTATCTGAACTCAAGTTCATCTCTAAAGAGGTATTTTTATATATTTGAAACAGGATTTGTTTAAATTATTGCACAACTGTTTTATTTCCTTAATTGTTCTTGGATATAGAACTAATAGAATGTTAGGGTGAATTTTATAACTTTTATACATTATTACTCAGAATGAAAACTAATTAAATTGTTTTGTTATGTGGCACATTAGATTGAAGACAGTGAACTTGCTGACGTTGCTGCAGTGAGTGCTGGAAACGACTATGAAATTGGAAACATGATAGCTGAGGCTATGAGCAAGGTGGGAAGGAAAGGTGTAGTGACACTAGAAGAGGGAAAAAGTGCAGAGAATAGCCTCTACGTTGTCGAAGGAATGCAATTTGATCGTGGCTATATTTCTCCTTATTTCGTAACTGACAGTGAAAAGATGTCTGTTGAATATGAAAATTGCAAGGTTAAATTTGTTATTTGATGAAAACTACACTTATATTTTCCAATTAATGTTTTGACAGCGCCTTAATAATATCTTTGACCTATCCAGCTGCTTCTTGTTGATAAGAAAATCACAAATGCAAGAGATTTGATTAATGTTCTGGAGGATGCAATTAGAGGGGGATATCCTATCATTATCGTTGCGGAAGATATTGAACAGGAAGCTTTGGCAACTCTTGTTGTAAATAAGCTAAGAGGTGCTTTGAAGATCGCTGCTCTAAAAGCTCCTGGATTTGGAGAGCGGAAAAGTCAATACCTTGATGATATTGCAATCCTTACTGGAGGTTACATGAATTATTAAGCTTCTATTTTTTATTTTGTTTTATTTTTTCCAGTCATTACATTAATCTCTACTAAGTTCTTGAAATCAATCCTAATTGGGGATTTGTCTTGCAGCAACTGTTATCAGAGATGAGGTTGGCCTTACACTGGATAAAGTTGACAAAGAGGTGTTGGGTTCTGCTGCTAAAGTTGTGTTAACCAAAGATTCAACAACCATAGTTGGTGATGGAAGTACACAGGAAGCAGTTAATAAGCGAGTAGCACAAATTAGAAACTTGATTGAGGTTTTTCTCCTCTTGTTCTTAACTCTTTATTTAATTTTCTTATTCTTATGTGAGGCTTAGGAAATTTCTATCAAATTTCCAGGTAGCAGAGCAGGATTATGAAAAAGAAAAACTCAATGAGAGGATTGCAAAGCTCTCTGGTGGGGTTGCGGTCATTCAGGTGACCCAAACATCCTACTTGTTTTTTTTTTTTTTTTGTGCAATATCCATATTGCTAAATTCTTCAATGTTGGAAAAGGTTGGAGCACAAACAGAGACGGAGCTCAAAGAGAAGAAGTTGAGAGTGGAAGATGCCCTGAATGCGACAAAGGTATTCTAGTAATTTCGAATATGTTTGTGTTTAGTCTGCAAATGCTGAGAATTTGTTAAACTAATTATTGATTTTGCACCCATATGCAGGCTGCAGTTGAGGAAGGTATTGTCGTTGGTGGTGGCTGTACCCTCCTGAGGCTAGCTTCTAAGGTTGATGCCATTAAGGAAACCCTTGAAAATGAAGAGCAGAAGGTTAGTAGCGTTATGGTCATTAGATTTATTATATTTAAAGGTGTTACTATATCAATATTGCTAGAAGCATGATTAAGTTTTCTATGATTTCTAACAAAAATGCGTGGTTGATTCTCACGCTGGTTTTTGAATAATAAAACTTATATAATTACTGAAGAAAATGCTTATGCAATTTTTAGTATTCATCCCATGAAAACTACTAAAATTCAATGTTGCCTTGGATCAGGTTGGAGCAGATATTGTCAGGAGAGCCCTGAGCTATCCTCTAAAATTGATTGCTAAAAATGCTGGTGTGAATGGAAGTGTTGTGATTGAGAAGGTATTGGGCTTCCTTAAATAGTCATCTCATGGTCATTTGAATAAAAGAAGCATTTACATATACATTCCACCGAATTCCTATATATCTACACAGCTCACGCCTAAACTTTAGTATAACCCAAGCCTTTTATTTCACATAAAAAAATACCATTATTTTAACTCTTAAAAATTGATGCACACATTTTTTTGCATATATAAGGTGGCATATATGTAAAAATTGAAGTTTAGGGGTTAGATATATAAATGCATAGGAATTAGGTGGTTGTATGTAAATATTCCTAGCTAAAAAAATTATGCTGCTTGTGCCAATCTCAAGAAATTTTGCCTGGTGTTCTTTTGGTTCAGGTGCTTGCCAGTGACAATCCCAAGTATGGTTACAATGCTGCAACAGGAAATTATGAGGATTTAATGGCTGCAGGAATTATTGATCCCACTAAGGTTGGATCTCTTCCTTTTTGCAAGACAAATAAATGATAATTAATTTTCTTATTTAGTGCATATTTTTAATGGTTTAATGGTTCCTACAAACTAGTATTGTTCAGAAGCTTTTGCTAATTTTTGACTTTCTGCTGTTGAACTTTTCTCTTATTATTTTTATGTCCACTCATCTATATTCATGTTGCATTGGATTGCACCGTTTTATTGATTTAATGGTTCCTGCAACTAGATACCGACGCCAATTAATTAAACATGCCTTAGAAATCAAAATCCATAAATCTTAAATGCTTGCAACCAAGCGAGCTACATCCCATCCAAAATTTTAAGGCAATTCCATAAATTTGGTATAATATACTGACTTGTAAGGTTTGAAAATGTAAATTTTTATTCATTCTGGATCAGGTGGTGAGATGCTGCTTGGAACATGCTTCATCCGTGGCCAAGACATTCCTAACTTCTGACGTTGTGGTGGTCGACATCAAGGAGCCCGAGCCAGCTCCAGTTGGGAACCCAATGGACAATTCAGGTTTGTCTGACTTGACCTCTTCAATGAATTAATCTACAACAATCCCACTGTAATTATATATATTCTAACAACTTATCTTTTCATGACCAGGTTATGGCTACTAAATGAGTAATAAATGGAGATCTAGAGTTGGAATGATGATCAGAATCATATTTTATTCGTCATGTTGGTTTTGATCTTAGATTTTGCCTATTTAGATTCAGGCTTAATGATAAATATTTGAGGAGATTGTCTGGTTTCTTAGCTTTTAGTGCTATGGTGCTTAAAATTTTTATTGTATCAGTAAGTTTGAGTTCGTAGAAGAAGAAATTCTGAACGGCTAGTAATCTGTGAAAGGAATTTTCCAGGTTTTGAATTATCTTCAGTGTTCTCATCAGATTTTTATGAAATTATTGCTGGAAGAAATATTAAGTGCAGACAAGATAGATGCGGATTTGATATTATTATGGTGGTATTGACATAATATATATCACAATATCAATAATCGGAATGTAAGATTTTCTCCTACGCATTAGCGTTACTCGGTATCGTATTATTTTACGTAACTGTAATTCAAAGAAATTGAATATCGGGGCATTTACAAGCAGTTCAACCAAATCTTATGAATTTACATTCCTAGCAATTAAAATTTATTTTTTATATTCATAACACTTAAATTATTTATGTTAATATAACATTAAAAATATCATAATCTTTACGAGGTTGTAAAGTGCATGGCATCAAAAATATTGTTACGGATCATATTTCATCCTGTAAAGTTTAAAATTATGGAAGCAACACTTATGTTAACATTTGTGTAAATTTTGAGTTGGACTTATGTGAAGTCTCGAGTCCTCTTAGAATATTGTTGTATCTTCTTGGCACTTCATGGGTGATGTGGATGAGCTTTTTCTGCGCAGGTTCCTTGTTATTACGTTTGGTAGGTTCTCTTATCATGTTGTTGGGTATGGGATACAGGGGTCACAAAATTTTTTTTTTAGCTTTCTCACTTTGGTTAGCTCTTTCAAAATATTGTTACGTATCATATTTCACCCTGTAAAGTTTAAAATTATGGAAGCAACACTTCTGTTAACATTTGTGTAAATTTTGAGTTGGACTTCTGTGAAGTCTCGAGTCCTCTTAGCATATTGTTGTATCTTCTTGGCACTTCATGGGTGATGTGGATTAGCTTTTTCTGCGCAGGTTCCTTGTTATTACTTTTGGTAGGTTCTCTTATCATATTGTTGGGCATGGGATACAGGGGTCACAAATTTTTTTTTTTAGCTTTCTCACTTTGGTTAGCTCTTTGATCAGGTTACAAAGATGTTGGCATATCAAGATAATGATCATGATGCTTAGTTTTAGGTGGGATTGGAAGTGTGAGTTGTGAAATTATTTTATATTTCAAATGACCTCTATGTTCTCGACCATCAAATTCTCAAAGGTGTGAGGAGGGAGCAGATGTAGCTCTAGACTTTTATATACTTCAAGCTAGTCTCTTGTTGGTATCACTCCGCTCCCGACAATCTAGACATTTTTCTTGAGGAGGTTCTTTGAGTTCTGACAATCATTGCGAGATTGGCTTTTAAACTTCTCCAAAGACTTACAGTCAGTAAGAACCAGGGTGGAAGTTGATTCATTAAAAGATTTATGACCATTCATGAGATGTAGAAATTTGGCCAAGGTTTTTGATTTCCATGAGCCAAGCGTCTATGAGAATGGCTGTTCACGAGGCTTTGAGCTTGAGTGATGAGAGCGACAAGCTCTAGATCATGAATGTCCAACATCTGTTAATGGAAGTGAGAAATGAAGCTTCTTAGGCTCTTCATAGGTTCTTGACAGATCCTTTGGAGGGCTTGAGAGTTTTTCAGCGACTGTTACGTGCTATAGCAAACCGTGCCACGAAATGTGCTTGAATTCTTTGAAGGAAATAATGGCTTTACTGGCACGTTATTGAACCAGCGTAAGACTTATTCAAAGTAAATGACATTTGAAAGTATCATTTATTCTAAACTTAAAGGAAATAATGGCTTTACTGGCAGCGTAAGACTTATTCTAAGTAAATGACATTTGAAAGTATCATTTATTCTAAACAAACAAACGACTAATTCGAATAAAGTTAGATGGTCAGTGTTGTAAAATTTTCTTTTTAATATCTAAAGAAGAAATCTTAAACTTCCTCTATGATAAAGCATTTTTTATTGGTCTTTGTCTTCTTCCTTATTTAGTTTCTTCATCTGAATATGCAGGAGCAAGTCTTTTACTTTTTTTTTCCTCTCTATTCAAGGTTGCTGCAGGCTCTCCTTCCTCTGAGCGATCAAGGTATTCCCTTTCCTCTCATTCTTGTTCGAGGATTGGGCTAGGAACTCTCCTTGGTTTGACTCTCATTAAGTTCTGCACAGTCGACTTTTGCCTCAGTGGCTCTTGAATTGGTGCCTCTTGCCTGTAAGCCACTAATCTTGATGATCCAGTGTGTGTTCTAGGGTTGATTCGAGAACGAAACCTACACACCTATCTCGCATCTTATATGAACTTCAAAACTTGTTTCCTCACTGATTTGTTGCATTATGATTTCCCCAATACCATCATCTTTCTTCTTCATCTTCTTTTATGCGAGAAAGATCTTCTTGCAGAGCTTGGTTATAAACTTTATGCTCATTGCACGTTTCAGAATATTGAATCATTTTTAGGACGTAGGGTCTCGTATCACTCGTGAGTACATGCCATTCGATAAAAATCTTGTTTCTGTAGAAGTAAGATAGAAACAAGGGATGAATACGAGGCTTGAGAGAATGTCTTAGGGATTGTATATTGAGCTTGAGTCTTCGCTTAGCCAGAAAATATAGCTCGTCAGAGGTTTTGGAATCCAAAAAGTGAAATGCTTCCCCTCTTCTTCCCTTGACACCTTTATACATAAGGGAGAAAATAATATAAAATACAATTCGTAGAGTGCAACATTCATACATGGTGTTTTAGATGACAATCATAAAGAAAGATGGACCGATGTCTTTAATAGTAATGATGATCATCTGCGGTAGCTGTCCCTCCTAAATGTGCGAGACCGCCTTCGTTGAAGGGGTAAATTCAGCCAATTGGATATATGTGCTCAGTTTAACGGTTTTGTTAGGTGAGCTTACTTCATAAAGATACACCAAAAAAAGCCTTTATTTAGGCACCCACATTATTTATGTACACAGAGATAATTATGCCTTGGATTCCAATATTAATGTTAGAAGCGGTAGGACATGTGCAGCTTGCAAGTATTCAAGAATAAGGCGATTAAAAGATTGTCTTTTTTATATAAGAATAATGATTTGGGTGTTAAGGCTCGTTGATATGAAAGTTTAGGTGGTAGATATGTAAATTGATAAGAATTGTGTGGTGTGTATGTAAATGCTCCTCCTCTTAAAGTATCGATCTATACATATCATGCCACACGTCTTAAGGAAATGTAAATATGCTTTGTTTGACTAAATAATTTAGTTATTATTATTTTACAGTCTAATTTATTTTAGAAAATTTTCTACTAAAAATTGATAACGATGTATGCATTTTTCTACAAAAATAAAATCAGGATATATATTTATTCATTAAAAAATATATATTAAATTCATAACTATTTTCACTGCCAATCAGAATTTCTTATACATAAAGTGCCAAAAGTCCTCTGGCAATTTACATGAGGCTGTTATAGTCATATATATTAAATTCATAACTATTTTCACCAATCAGAATTTCTTAGACATAAAGTCCCAAGTCCTCTGGCAATTTACATGAGGCTGTTATAGTCCCCTAGAGTTTATCGAAATGTCAAATTAGCCCCCAGACTTTCTTAAATTGAAGGTCAAATTGTCATTTCATGGAGACTGTTTCAACGAAAATATTTGCGTACATAAGACGTACGCAGCGCTGTGTACCTCCAGGGGTTATTCAGGGGGTACATGGGGGTTATATTGGGGTTATACCCCTCTGTAACTCCCCTGTAACCTCTTTTTAAACTACCTGTAATCAACAAATGAGTTTCGCGCTTCTGTAGTCTCATGATTACAACACGGATGTTACAAAGGAGTTACACGGAGATTACAAGTGAGTTACACGGAGTTTACAGGTGGGTATAACCCGGATATAACCCCCCTGTACCCCTTGAATAACCCCTGACGTACGCAGAGCTATGTACGCCTTATGTACGCAAATATTTTCCCTGTTTCAGCCTCAATTTAAATAATTTAGGGATTAATTCAACGCTTCTATAAACTCTAAGATATATGAATAATGAAATTAAATAATAGTTCTTAACTTTATCTATCATTTATTTTGGCTTGTTTTAATATATTTTATCATCACAAGTAAAAAGATATCATGTTAAATTTCCATGGAGATAAAAGAGAGTAAGAAAGTAGGGTTGGGAATAGTTTTATACTGAAAGAGTGAAAGAGTGTTATATTCCAATTTGTTAGGAAATTACATTAAAACAATACAATTTTTATGCATTTGTATATCTAATACCTAAAATTTGATATTTATTTCTATTACACCTAGATCTTAATTATCAGCACATTAATAGCATCACTAAAATATAATTTTTATAACCCCGTGGGGGTGTTAGTTGCTATTTCCTTTTTGTTGTGTTACAAGAGAGTTACATGGAGGTTAAATGTGGGTATAGCCTGTATATAACCCCTCTGTACCCCTTGAATAACCTCTGACGTACGCAGCGCTGTGTACGTCTTATGTACGCAAATGTTTTCCCTGTTTCAGCCTCAATTTAAATAATTTAGGGATTAATTCAACGCTTCTATAAACTCTAAGATATATGAATAATGAAATTAAATAATAGTTCTTAACTTTATCTATCATTTATTTTGGCTTGAATATATTTTATCATCACAAGTAAAAAGATATCATGTTAAATTTCCATGGAGATAAAAGAGAGTAAGAAAGTAGGGTTGGGAATAGTTTTATACTGAAAGAGTG